AGAAGAAGAAGAAGAAGAAGAAGAAGAAGAAGAAGAAGAAGAAGAAGAAGAAGGAGAAGGAGAAGGAGAAGAAGACGTACCTCGTAAAACATTGTCTTTATATTACGTCACAATATCCAGGTGAAGTCCTCTCTTATTGGCTGTCTCGACTCCTGTCCCTGGACTGTGTGCCTCCTGTCTCGCTCTCTTTGGTCAGCTCAGCTCAGTGGGCGGAGCTAAACAAGAGCAAGACAGATCTAGGCTGGGAACCTGAGCAATATGTGGCACTCATCATGTGGATAAAGGACATGAACTCTTCCTTCCGGTAAGAAACTTTATTTACAGGTGGTGGGGGAAGAAGGACAAAGCTCATTCAAGAAAACAGACATTGATATAGGATAGATTCTCAAATAGTAGTTTTTTTCCCTATCATTGATGACACATTTATTTTTTCTCCTCAGCTCCAAAGTCCTGATACCTCAATCAGTTCTCAAAAATAAACATTAATATCAATTCTCAGATTTGATCATTTGCTTGGGTTTTTTTCCTTTTCATTAATGGAACAATCATTGAGTCACGACACGGTCTGATGAAGTATCCGTCCATTTTGGGGGCATATGGAATTATTGCTGTAATCTTATAGTCTGTTGTTCATTTGTATTTCTTCTGATTAAAAAAAATTAATGCCTATCCATCTTGAATAGAAGTATTGACATTGATTGAAGGTAGTGCGGGTCATTTGGTGGTAGAGGAAAAGCTACGGAGAAAATGGCCACCGAAGTTTTGTGACCTTCTAAGCTTGATTGTCCTTGAAAACCTTAATCAAATACATTTTGTATGCCTTTGAGCAAGGTTTATCAATACAATCCACACAGAAAGGTGTTTAAAGATAAGCATAAAAGTTGTTGAGCCACAAATGAATAAATAAATAAATAAATAAATAAATCAATCAATCAATCAATCATTAAATCAATAAATAAATAAATAAATAAATAAATGATCGAAAGAAATTGCCTAAAAATTGCACCAAAAAAAGTATAATGGCATCTTTGATTTCTTTATTTTTGAGGAGTACCTCATTTCGTGGAAAGGAACTGGCCACCCTACCACAATATGCCGAAGACCCAGGAATTTGTCTCTCTAACGGGGCAATTCCCAATGTCCGGATCGGATGCGGGAACCACTTTACTTTGACTTTTCCTCATTTCACCACAAATGATGCAATTATATTTATTTCTCCTCAGGTCCAAAGTCCTCATGCCTCAAGCAATCCTCCACGCGTACAAGACGGGTGTCCCAGTGAGTGAGCAAATATTTCTTCAAGCAGCCACCGTTAGGACAGCGCAAACGAACCAGAGCAGTGACCACAATGACGTCACTAACAGTGGTGGGCCAGAATGGACAGTGGACGAACTGGTTGCTGTGGCCCAGTGGAGCAGCATGATCGTGTTCGACTACCTCACGGCAAACTACGACAGGTGTGTGTGTGTGTGTGTGTGTGTGTTAGAGTGAGAGAGAGAGAGAGAGAGAGAGAGAGA